ACATATCTCATGAAAACCTTTCATTTATATTTTTAAAAATATATGATTTGTAAGATAATAACATACATTGTTGTCATTTATGAGTAACAGTATGTAAGTATGTGCAAGAATTTAAAAAAGTTGAATAACACCAATAACTACTTACCATTTTAATGGGATGTATGAGGTTGATGGGATGAACACAGTTTCTGAATATTTGGTGGAATATTAGATAAAGACACTCGCATTTCGTCATCAAGCATTTTTAAGCTTCCACGTTTCAGTGTCTTTAAGTTTGCCATCGTTGCAAAGGATACTTCACAAATGTATGTAGTAGAAAACTGCAGAAGAATTTTTAACGCTTTTTTAGCTATGTTTGGATGCATTTTTGAAATGCGAATCCAAAAGCTGTCTAAGTCACCCTCTTCATACATCATTAACAGATTTCGATCATTTTTTATGTCAGCTAATTCTTCTTCTTCAATAAGTGAAAAGTTCCTCGTTGCAGTTGAAAGAAATGGATTTCTGATCCAATCATAGTCTTGGATTTCAACATTTGGGAAGTAATGCTGAACTTTCTCTCTGAGCAATGTTAAATGGTCAACAATTAGTGAGCTGATATCACATTTTATCTTGCACTCAGCAGTTTTGGAAAACATTTCAAAATTTCCTTCTTTCACTTTCCTTTTCCAAATTGCTATTTTGTCTCTCATAGCACAAATTTTATCTACCGCTGTTAAGATATTTTCTCCTTTTCCTTGCATACTGGTGTTTATTTTATTCAAATGTTCAAATATGTCAGCAAGATATGCCAATTTTGTGCACCAAAGTTTGTTTTGAATTAGATTGCAGAATTCAGTTTGCTGATTTTCCACAAAAAGTTTAAGCATCATTTCCCTCAATTCGTATACACGACAAAGCACTCGACCTCGTGAGAGCCAACGAACTTCTGTGTGTAGTAGAAGCTTTTTAAACCTTGCCCCCATTTCTTCACAAATATGAGCAAATAATCTTGATTGAAGAGGTCTACTTTTAATGTAATTGACCATTTGAACCACTTTGTCCAAAACTTTTCTTAATTCATTTCCAATGGTTTGCGCGACTAGTGCTTCGCGATGTAAAAAGCAATGAGTAATTATAATATTTTCATTCTCTTTCTTTGCTAAAGCTATAAAACCTTTTGTTGAACCAACCATTGAGGGTGTGCCATCTGTGCATATTCCTACACAATTTAACCATTGCAAATTATTTTCCTTCATGAAGCAATCTAAAGTTTTAAATATATCTTCACCTCTAGTTCTCATTGGAAGTTCTAGACAATACAAGAATTGCTCAATAATTCTGTCAGTATGAATGAAACGTACAAAAACCAATAATTGTGCTAACCCACTGACATCTGTTGCTTCGTCTAATTGCAATGTAAAGATCATATTATCGTCTTGAAAAATATCCTTTGTCGTGGAAACACACGCAGCATACTTTTGGGTCAGGTCAGCAGAAGCTTTTATTCAAAAGAAACTACAGCTGTAGGGGGGATTCCAAAGTGACATGGATTTCCCAAGCACTTGGAAGGGGTCCCCCCCCAAGAGCAAAATCAGGAGGCTTATATACTTTTTAACAGTTGCTTACAACTCACGTGATCATATAGTGAAATTAGCATGAAAGGCGGCTATAATGTTACTTTATTATTTCTTTGCTGTAATCAGGATGGGAACTAATGGGGGAGGCGAGGTTAGTTCATAAACCTCCTTCTTGCACCTGCAAATCAGAGTTGTACATACTTTTTGCTATCTTCAAGGCCGCGGTGAGCGAAGCAGTTGCAGAGGAGTTACAAAGAACAAACACTTTCTCTTATCTGTTCTACTATACAGAGCCAGCAATTCTCCACAAAGCGGTTATGTCATCTTATAACTAAAATAATCAAAGTTTAAGGCATATATTTTTTTTGATTCCACATTTCTCCAGTTTATCAAGGTCATTCTGAATCATAGTCCTTCCCCCAGAGTATCTGCAACTCCACCCAAGTTGATGTCATCTGCAGATTTGTTAAGCATGCGCTCAGTCCCATCATCCAGATGATTAATGATTAGACTGAGGACATACAGTATCAAATGCCATGTTTAAGTCAAGGTATGTCACATCCACTTCTTCCCTTGCTGCCCCTAGACAGAGCCTACTAATTATCATAGAACAAAAGAAGGTTGGTCAGGTATGATTTATTCTTGGTTAATCCGTGCTGATGGTTCCTGATCAGATCACCTTGTTCTCCTCAAGGTTCTTGAAAATAGAGTTCTTGAGTACCTGTTTTATGACCTTTTCAGGTATTGCAGTCAGACTGACTGGTCTGAAATTCCCCAGATTGTCCTTCTTCCCTTCCCACTATAAACAGGTACTATATTTACCCAAACCATGCAGGACCTTACCCAACCTCCATGTGTTCTCAAAGTTAATAGCCAATTACTCCAAAATTACCTCAGCCAACTTCTTTAGTACTCTCTAGGAGGTATTCCATCCAGCCCTGCCAAATGAAAGCATCTAACTTCTGTAAGTAAATGCTAACCTATTTTTTACTACTTTAGGCTATTTTTTCCTGTCATAACCCAAAGGTATGATTTTGTGTGTGCTTCGGCACCAGAATTATCCCCGCCAGATTGCAGCTTCATTGCACGGGAGAGTTTTCTACTGCAGAGGAAAACTCCGGTGCAGGGACGAGTTTCCCGCCTATTTGCAGCTTCTTTTGCAGGGTGCATTGCTCAAGTTGCAAGAGAAATGCACGGTGCAAAAGAGTTCCCGCCACCCGCATGCAAATTGGTTCCCCGTTATTGGCTAGTTCTAAATTATTCACACGTGGCGGCTAGTGATTGGCTTGCTAGCCATATAAGAGGCTTGAGCGGTTTCCACCCAAGCCGAAGAGGACTCCACATCCATCTCGTGGGGACTCTGGGTACACGGCAGGGAAGTAAAGACCCCTGTGTGAGATCCAGAGGAGCTTGGCGGCCTGATCCATCGCCCACCTCTTCCCATCTTTGAGCGGAAAAATTATAAGACGTATCTACGAGTCCGATTTTGGTGGTGCGCTCACCCAGAGCATCCGGAGCTCTGTTTCCGTGGAGCATAGCAAACTCCACGTGACCTTCCGTGTTGTCTTTGTCTGTAACCGCAACTCAAGCAAGTTTTCCAGCCTACACCACGACCATCTCTGGTGTAAGTAAACAATCTTTAAAACTACCGCTATGAGTCTGTGCCTAATTCTAGCTTGTCGCACCCCTCTCTCTCACCCCGCATGCCCGGGCTGCTGGCCACAGCCCGCGTGCAACACGAAAAAGGGCCCGGCTCACGCCCGGCCCACACATTTCCTTCCCTATCTTTGCTGCCAACTGTGATCGTCATCTGTTAATTGATATTATTCATGAAGAGTGAAGGAAAAAAGGCATTAAATAATTCAGCCTTTTCTGCATCAAACATAACTAGATTGCCTTTTGTGTTCTGTAGGGAACCTATGGTTTCTTTGGTTTTCCTTTTACTCTTGCCGTACTTGTGGAATCCCTTTTTATTGCCTTTTGGGTCCCTTGCCAGCTATATCTCAAATCATGCCTTAGCCTTCCTAATTTTCTCCCTGTATACCCATGCAATATTCTTATATGCTTCTCTAGTAATATAACCATGTTTCCACTTTTTGTAGGTTTCAATTCATTGAAGAGATTGCTGTCTAGCCAGACTGGTCACCTGTTGCACTTCCCATTCTTCCATTGCATCAGTATAGCTTAGTCCTGTGCCTTTAATGTGACCTCCTTAAAGTACAACCAACTCCAGAAGCAGATCCAGGGGTTTGCCATGGCACAGTTGCACCTCCCACTGATTCCTGTTCCATCCAAACTTTAAAACAACTTCCTCTGTGTGTGTGTGTGTGTGTGTGTGTGTGTGTGTGTGTGTACTTGTGTTGTTGTTTTTTTTACAGAAAAGATATGGAGGAAGGTGTTGAAGCTAAAGAAGTTAGAATCACTGATCTAGCTGGTGGCAATGAGGACAGGATGTCAACCTGCTGTGCCCTGCTTTTTCTACTGGATGCCCCCTTCCAACCTCTGGTTTGCACCTGAAGCTGTCCTCATTACTGAGGCTGTTCCTGCAGGGTCTCACACACGAGTAACTATCCCTGAAGCCCATCCTGGTCCCTCCCCCATCAATCCCCAAGCATGGAAGGAGGGGAGGGAGCAAGCTAAGCCATAGAGCATGGTTCCATCTATGTTTCACTGTGGCCAAGTGCTTCTGGGAGCATGAGGGACTAGGACAAGGGCTGCCAGGAGAAAGAGAAGGTCAGGGAAAGGCTACAGAAGTGGTGGCAGTCCCTAGACAACCAGCCACTGGTACCAGTGGAGTATCTGGTTCAGATGCAGGGTACCTGGTGGAGGAGAAGAGCATTTACCTCCTCACATAGGGGTATCCTGTGGCACACTTTCGCCGCTTTTGTGGCACATTAGCGTGCTGCAGCACACCCTTTAGAAATCACTGGCTTTATGCTGCTTTATGCTGATATTCTCACTCTCTTTTAAGTGGTTTTTTTTTTCTCTTATGAAATAAGAACATCGCATTTGCTCTAAATAAAGTTAAGGTGAGATGGAATCTTCAAAATCGAGTGTAGATATATTTACCCAGAAAGTGAGATACATCCAAATCTTTCTTTTTTTTTCCCAACCATTGATCCAAATCTATGGTGGTGATGGTTTAATATTAACTCAATTCTATTACTGAGAGTTAGAATTGACAAATCATTAACCAGGCACCAGAAGAAGCAACACAATTTCATTTTCAATCTTCCTGATCACGCATTGGGTTGTGTTTTGCTTTGCTTTAAGGAGCACAGTAGAATCAGAAATGAAGCTTCATTAGAATGTTACTCTCCCTGAATGTATTGACAACCTCGAGCTTAAAAGAAGCAGTATATTTTTGTCTTGTCTTGAAGTAGCCATATCATATGTGAATAATAATATGAATACAACTGCATCACAAGCAACTTACAGTGCAATGTTATCATTACACTAATGCACCCACCATACTTGTAAGTACTATCTTCCTTTAACTTCAGTTATTGAACCAAAGCTTGCTTTTGGTCTTAGTTGAAAATAAATATCCTATCATTATTTGTTTAGATATTCAGTATAAGGACACTGGTCACAGATCGTTTATTTGTAACTATGAGATATATACTTCTTTAGAAATTACAGAATAAAATAAAAATAGCTTGTTGACACCAATAGAGAGGTGTTAATATATCTTTGCAGGCTCACACTGAAATAAATAAAAATAATTTTTAGTAGCAAATGACAGCTATAAACCTGAGTCAAACCATATAAGAATTTAGATTATACTCAATGAATTACTTTATATTCCCTTTTAAAACTAATGTAATAAATACAGTTTATGCTTTGGACTAAGTTACTACTCTCCATTTTAGAAGGAAAGCTCTTATTTTTTATGTTCATACAAATAAATTAAGCTCCCTAGGAAATAAAGTTTTCATACCATGTGAGTTACTGATCAGTTATGAGCAATGATATTTTAAGTATGAGGAGTGTGGAGAGCTAATTTTTAATGAGAGATTCACCTGGTTAAAATAAGCAAAATCCCACTGAAATCTTCAAGCTTGTGCAGTTGATGATCAAGGATCATAGGCCATTTGTATACGCCACAAAATTGGCCTTTAAAGTGGCTTAATGCCCTTTTGCACCACTTTAATTGTAGCTCAGGGACTGCTTGGCCAGCCAGCAGCTCACCCTCTCCTTCCTGCTGCTGGAGAAGCAAGTAAGGGTTGGACCCACCCTTGTGTACATACCATGGGGGTTTACTTCACCCTAAATTGAAGCAGTGTTTTTAAAGACCCACTGCTTCAATTTAGGGACAATTAAACTGAAGTAAACCCCCATGGCACATACAAACACCATAGTAATTCTGAGGGCCTGATCTTCTTACCATATAGTCAACAGGCATCTTTCCAAAGAATGTAATGGGAACTGAATTGAAGATTATGAACCTATTGTGCCCATATTCATGTTCAAAATTCTCAGTTCATTTGAAGGCCTAGTTAAAAATATTTTCAGTTCAACAAAGCTTGACTTTAGGAAGTAGTGAGGGGAAGGAGAAAAGTGTTGTGGCTTAGATGCCCTAATACACTTGAGTAAATGAATCAGAGCCAGTTTGTTTGATGTACTACAATATATAGTAAAATAGCCATTTATCATAATACTGTAACTGAAATAATGAGGTAACTTCTGATCACCTAGAACATGTAACTTTTCTCTCCATTTAGTGCTTTTTCTTTTTCATTTCTGTGTAAGTCACTTTCCTTAGCACTTACACCCCCTATACCTTTTTGACTGTCTCCTGACTTTTCTCTTTGCTAATAGTTTAAGACTTCCCTCCCTTTAGTAATCTGCACAAGCTCAGCAAGTGTGGATAGGATCCAAATATTGGGTCAATATTGCCAAGCTCTGGGTTCAGGCAGTGTATGCTACTGCTGCGTGCACAGCTCTGTTTTTTTTCTCCATGCGTTTCTTTGACCCTTGGATATCCAGGGGTGAAAAAAATCCTCTGTGCTGCTCCCTTGAAGCGTGGAGAGCAATGAAACATGCAGTATGCGACACTGCAGTCGTGTCTGCAGCGTCATATCCTGCATGGCTGCGCTCATCTGGATGTGGCCTTCAAGAAGATAGTTTATCAGATAAAAATTAAATATAATTTAAATGAAATTATATTGCTTCAATAAAGGTTACTAGAGAAGGTTTTAAAATAAGGATTAACTTGATTTTATCTGGTCTATACAGTGTAACAATTTTTGTTTGTTTGCTATTGTTTTGTTTTAAGTTTGATTTTCATCCCCACTCTTCTTCCTTCTCTCTTCCCTGCTCCCCACCAAACCTTCATAATCAAGAGATATTTGATTTATTCCAAGTTTTTAAACTAAACAATATGAGAAATATGAATTCTAATTCTTCCTGATCTTGCTGCAAGATTTGTTCAGGGTCACTTAGGATTTATAGGTGTATTATAATTCACACTGCAGTTAGAATTGGATTGGCTACCAGATCCTTAACAAAGACTCTTTCTACAAAACAATAATGAAAATAATGAAAAAATAAGTGGAGTAAAAATCTTGCTCTGAAAATAAATTCATAAAATCTGCCTGAATTTACATCTGCCCTCAAATTGCTGACAGCTGGATTACTAGTAATACTCCTCCATCATTGGCAGCAGTGGGTGGGAAAATAGTGTAGACAGGCTACAATAACAACTATGGAATCCACTGACATGCAAAGAAAGTCTAGTTTACAGAAATGAAAAGTCTAAGGACACCATTAGTGTGAGCTTTAGTATAGAGAAAGGGTTGCTACCACCTACAAGACTAAATTGGTATTGTTGTAAAGTAAAAAAAAAAAATAATGTACTTGCACACAAAAAAGACGATTGAACTTTTTTATTTGGACATGATCTGCAGGAGAGTGAGGGAAATAAATTAATTAATTTCAGTCAATTTTATATTTCAAAAAGGAGGAAAAACAACAGTGAAAACATGGGGGAAGCCATGCGCTCCCACCTCCCTTTTTAAAATAAAGCATTATTATGCATTTCATGTTTATCCTTCTTGTAGTGAGAGTTGAAATTCCTTTCGACATTTGGTAAGTCTTAAGTTGATGCTACGGTTAGCTGTTTTAAGAGGGTAGCTGTTGACTGATTTATCATTGTTCACTGAACTGTACAGTAATGATATGGTCATCACTGGCTAACTTAGTTAACAAGCTGACCCACTTGATGTAGAAACTGTAACAATATAAAACCAAAAACTTGCTAGCAAAATAAAAACATTCAAAACTTAGGATAAGTTTGAGCTCACTTATACTTATCTATAGGGAATATAAAGGGAGAGAAATGTCAGAAATGATTGGGGAAGGGGAGGGAATGCATTTTTAAATAAATAAATTTAAAAAAAAAAAGAAAGAAACTGGGGGTTTTGCTACATGGTGGGTTACCCAGAGTTTAGGGCCAGGCAAGGGGCCAGGAATGGCTGTAGCCACCTGAGCCCCACAGGGGTGTAAGACCCCAGAGGGCGAAGTGTGAGGGGGCAGTAGTGTAGCCCAGAGTAAGAGGACAGCAGGGTGGCCCCAGAGTGGGGGCAGTTAGGTGTGGTAGGCCCACACAGAGTAAGGGGCATCTTTACAACCTGAAGGACACTCTATAAGGTACAGAGTAGGACTGAAGGCTGGTCTGAAGGGCTGCACCAGGGGGTTTCTTGAGTAGGGCTGAAGGATGGCCAGAAGGGCAGCACATGGGCCAATGCCCATGAGTATATGAATTTGGAAAAGTCACCTAGTGAGGGGCTATTAGGTTTGTATTAATTTTTACTGTTGTATATTATATTATCATTTTTGTATCGATTTTTATTGTTTCATATGGATATTGTATGGTTTAGGCCTGTGTTTTTAAGTGAACCAAAGTCATGTCAAATTTCCTTTTTATGGTTTAGGCCTGTGTTTTTAAGTGAACCAAAGTCATGTCAAGTTTCCTTTTTATATGTCAAACCTCCATCTTCTGTCCTCTGCCTGGGCATCCCATGTTGCAACTGTATGAGTCATGTACCCCTCCCATGTAAATTGGTTCCCAGATGAATGAGAATGATTGGGAATGATTGAAATACAGTGGTAGCAGGCCTCTACTGAATGGCCTGTAATGACCAGGCCATCACCTCACATTGATTCACCCAGGAACCACGGACCTCACCCAGGAACAGAGACAAGACCAGCATTTGAAAAACAAAAGACCCTGCAAAACCAGCAACACTCACCATTACAGACACCAGAAACTGCACATCTCTGCATGGAGCACACATGCTCAGTACATCAGGGGCTGACCCTTGCTTGGGTATGTTCTCTACTATTTTCCTCACCCACCAACCAAACTGGATAGATATTCAGGCCTTACTGGCCGCTCTTCTGACTTCAGAAGAAAAGAGGTTGGTCTTAAAGAAAGCACGCACGATAGCACAGCAGCGTCACCCAGCCGGTGATGTAGATGAACTTTGCCCTAAGGAAAATCAAGACTGGGATCCTAACACCCAGTGGGG